ATAATTTAAGGGTATGCATGATTTTGCAAAACAGAACAACTTGCACAATTTTACTTTGGTTCAAATAAATATTTAAAGAGATTATTTTTTGTTGATTTAATCAAAAGGGCAAAAGAAACAAAATCCAAGAACAAAATACAGGAAACAAAAAAAACAGAAGTCAGAGGAAAACAAAAATATGAGGAGCCAAGTCACAACTAGAAACTGGCACTGAGGAACTGCAGGAGGTGTATATATGGGAAACAGAACAAAGACTGGGGTAATCAGCTAACTGGGAGCAGGTGTAAATAGAAGCAACTAGAAGGTAGGGGAAACAAGACTGGCACAAGGGGGCAGTAGACAGCAACACAAAAAACACAACACTGCTTAAATATAACTAGAAAAAACTACAATAACACAAAATGGAAAATAAACAATTACCAAGAAAACACAGAATGACATAAATACAAATTTAAATAAAAAACTAAAAAAGAAATCTAAACAGGATCAAAAAGTCCATAACAAAAATAAAATCAAAAGATAGAGATGGCTGTTCATTCTATTTGCTAATGCAGCTATAACTGACAATGTGATTGCACCTAAGCGCTCTGCCCTAAAGGCACGAGCAGCTAATCAGAGGGAAAAAGCTCTAAAAATCCCAATCAGATAGTTATTGATTAGCACAGCTGGAAATGCATTTCAAACCATTGCCTTTAACTGATGTTGCTCAGTCATTCCAACCCAAGTCTCCTTCCCAGCTGGGATCATGGACTTTAACAAAATACAAACATTAGGAAAGAAATCATTACTTGCAATAATCTGACTTAAATCTATAGTTAGTTTTATTTACAGTTACACCTACAGACCATTTAATTAGATACATGTTATAAAAACAATTTTCCTCTTTATTTTATTAAATAATCTGAGCAATGTATTTTTTTTTCATGTTATAGGAGGAGAACATACAGAAACATTTAACCAAGATAAAAAAAAATTTTAAAGCAAGACCTAGGGACCGATCAATTACAAAAGTTTTGGAAAGAATTGGCAATGCTACCCTTTTATTTAGGCCTCCCTGTTGTTAAAAGAATCATTCAACTTTAATTATTCAGATCGATGAGGTGCAAATTATGATATCGACACAATTATAATCTCTTGAGCTGAAATCTTATCTTAAATACATTTCAAAATGTGATAATATACTTCAGTGGTTCAAACACTTGTTACATTGATAGTTCTAAAACATTACCATGTGGATATTTGCAAAGTCATGTCCTAACCCAGTGCAGATTAACATATTCCAGCATAAACTCCATTAAATATTCTTGTATAAGGCTTTGTTTGTACATTTCAAAATTAAATGTTGAATTTACAAGGATTGCGTTTTATTTTGTTTCTTGTGGTATTGATTTTGCTTCAGTCTTTATCGGTTTGTTCTCTCTGCTCTGTGCATGTTCCCTCTTCCATAACTGTCCCGCCTGCGTTGCAGCTATATTTGCTCTCTCAGTATATTTTAGTCCCTGTTTATTCCTTGTCAGATTCTCATTTCTTGATCTTCTTCTTCTGCGTTCCTTTGCTTTGTTACCCGCCTGTTATGGAGACCTGTCTTTAGCTGGGGTTTGGGTCTTTTTCCAACCTCTCTCAGCACAGAAATTGGAAGTTACTTTTGTTCAACTTTCTTTGTCGCAAGACAAGCAGCTTCAGACATTAAAGATGACTAGTAGAAATTCAGACCCCTCATTTCATAAAGGTGCTTTCAAAATACAGGCTTACAACTACTGGAAAACAAAAATGTATTTTATCTAAAAATCAGAGTCTTTCAGAAGAACAATTCAACCTTGGGAGACTCACACAGAGAAAAGCTGCAATTAGTTTTATTAAATTAATTTATACAGGTAACACAGTTAGATTGGTCAATATGTTTCTATCTAAGGGAAACCAGCTGACTGCATGGACTCTCAATCGTCACACCAAGCATGCTTGTTGTGACAGTAGGGAGGAAAACTCCCTTTTAACAGGAAGAAACCTCCAGCAGAACCACACTCAGTGTGAGCGGCCTTCTGCCAAGGCAGACTAAGGTGGGAGACAGAAGGAGACATGCAAATACTGACATAAATGAAATAAGTTCCTTGCCACTCAGGCCCTAAGTATAGTCTGAAAATGAGGGAGGAGAGGAAAGGTAGGTAGGTGAAAGTTTGCTTAAATGTGGGAGAGAAGCATGGCCAGGAGCTATGGTAAAAGAGACAGACCTTGAAAGATGATTGGTCCAGAGGAGATTAGTTCCTGCCTCTGATTGGCTGAAGCAGGTGGTTCAGGTGAAACTGATGAGTCTCCCAGATTTATTTTTTGCTTAAGTTTCATTATAAAAAGGAGGTTTAACACTGATATGTCAGCTCTCTAAAATTGATATTTTAATCTGTCCAGTACATGCTCTCAAACCTCGGTTAATACTCGCTTCACTTGAATTAATCATGTAGGTGTTCAGCCCACAATGGTAAAGAGTTAGGGAAAGTCAGTCTGCTGCCCTACTGGCCCTCAGTTCAATGGTATGGTTAGGTCTGGTCTCTCATCTTCATTTTAATTATGGAAATCTAAAAGAATCTTGTTGGACAGCTGAGCTGAAGTTGGAATTTAAACATAGAGGAACAAAACAAATAGATGGTATGACTTTGACAACCATCACTGATCACGTTGCTTTGGGTGTGGCATACGTCTAAAAATTAGTTATAGCTGTAGCCCAGTGATCATCCTGTCCTAAATATGTCACTTTGGAAGCAATTGCTCCAACTGCGGTCCATGCAGTTGGAGCCATCATTTGTAGCAGTGGTTCTACACATTAATACATCAGATGGTTTCTGAAAGTTACAAGGTTCTTTAACCCTTTATAGAGCAAGTTACCGTTTTCGATCACTTGCATACCCCCTGTCACTCAGTAAAGTCTAGAAGCACAAGATCTATATCCAGCCATTCAGCAAAGATCCTGCTACATGTCTGTACATCTTATTTTGCTATTTGACCAATTAGATGAGCCCTTGAATGATATATTACCTACTGTTGACTAGTTAACCTTTTTTTTCACTGTAAAAAAAAATGAACTGGTCCAGAAAAAAGGTAAAAAGCTAATTGAAAAGTTAAAAAGTAAATGAAAAAAGTTAATAAGCCTAGTTATGTCAATGTTATTACATTGACATTAATTTTTGCCTTCAAAGTATCCATATTTTTTGAATGTTGCAAAGGTAATAAGGTCCTGTCCTGGATTCTAATAACACCATGTGCTTGAAATTTTGATTTTCAAAGTATTTCATTGAGTGGAATATAAAGGTTAAAATTACTCTGAAAATTATACAGGAATGTACCGTAATCAAAAAAATTAATTTGTACTTTTTAATGCTTAAGTATTTTCAATAGTGAATTCTTAGATACTTTAAATTGAGTAGATATTTGACCTAGTAACTATTACTTGTGGTGAAGTAAGATTTGACTATGAGTCAAATCTATATAAAAAAAAAAGATTTCACTATGAGTTCTATTACTTAAACTCAAATACTACTGTGGAGTGTTTCGCTGTTTCTGGCTTATGTTTTGGTCACTTTTGAATCTTGGTAACATGAGACAGAGTCTACAACCCACACAAGTGGCTCATGTAGTGCAGCTCATCCAGGATGGCACATCAATGTGAGTTGTGGCAATAAGGTTTGCAGTGTCTGTCAGCAGAGTGTCCAGAGGCTGAAGGCACTAAAGGGGATAGGCAAGACACCAGGAGACATGGAGGTGGATTTAGGAAGGCAAAGACCCAGCAGCAAGACCGCTACCACTGCCTTTGTGCAAAGAGGAACAGGAGGAACACTGCCAGAGCCCTGTAAAATGACACCCAGCAGGCTACAAATATGCATGTCTGCACAAACAGTTAGAAATGACATGAGGATGGTGCGAGGGCCCGACATCCACAGATGGGGTTTGTACTCACATCCCAACACCGTGCAGGACATTGGGCATTTTCCAGAGAACAGCAAGATTGGCAAATTTGCCACTGGCACCCTGTACTCATCACAGATGAAAGCAAGATCACACTGAGCACATGTGATAGATGTGACAGAGTCCGGAGACACAGTGGAGAGCAATCTGCTGCCTGCAATATCCTTCAGCATGACCGGTATAGCAGTGGGTCTGTAATGGTGTGGGGTGGCATTTCTTTGCAGAAACACACAGCCCTCCATGTGCTTTCCAAAGGTAGCATGACTGCCATTAGGTAGCAAGATGAGATACTTGGACCCCTTTTGAGACCATATGCTGGTGCGGTTGGTCGTGGGTTCCTCCTAATGCAGAACAATGCTAGACCTCATTTGGCTTGAGTGTGTCAGCAGGCATTGAAGCTATGGTCTGGCTCGCCTGTTTCCTAGACCTGAATCTGATTGAGCACGTCGGGGCCATCCACCAATGTCACGTTGCACCACTGTCCAGGAGTTGGCGGATACTCTAGTCCAGGTTTGAGAGGAGATCCCTCAGGAGACCATTAGCCAACTCATCAGGAGCATGCCCAAGCATTATGAGGTGGTCATACAGGCACCCGAAGGCCAGACACAATACTGAGCTTCATTTTGACCCATTCTGAGGTCATTACATCAAAGTAGGATCAGCCTCTAGTGTATTTTTCCATTTTAATTTTCTGTGAGACTCCAAACATAGATCTCCATTGCTTAACAAATTTGATTTCGTCGTCAGCACATTCAGCTTTGTACATAAAGTACTCAATGAGAATATGTTATTAATTTAAATCTAAAATGCGTTGAGTGTTGTTTATTTTTATTAGCAGTATATATTTTATGCTTTTTCTAAAAATGTTGGCTTCCATACCTTTTCTTCAGGTTGTTCTGTAGATTCAGTCAAACAGAGACAAAGCAAGCAGACTCGGTTGGGCTCGTTTGAACCTCAGCATATCTAACATTAAAAATGCATACCAAATGATCAGGGCTCCAACCTCTATAATGACAAAAGGCCATTTTTATTTACCGCCCTTAGAGATTTAGAATCTGCAGACAGAGACACTGAAATGTTTCCACAGTACAAGGAAGAGAAAAAAAAGAGATTTTAACCTGAATGAAATTCATTTCTCACCTCTCAAAATTCAAAGGATAATTGATTTAAAAAAGTAATTTTCTCTGATCTCTTTACTTTGTCCTTTACTGTTCCCATTTGCATTAATGGCTGGCATCTCTTATTATTAAAACCTAATCTCTGATAAGGGGTTTAAGTCCTAAATGACTGATCTCACAGCTTCCTCCGAATATGCAATCACTGGACCTAGAAGCAGCATCCCTAGAAGTTTTTAAATAATGACAATATATCTAACTAAACAGAACTAAACTTGTTAATTTATCCAAGTAAAAAAGAAAAATATTTCATAAGATTTTCTATAAACATACACAAAACTTCATGAGTCGATATTATTAATATCTCTACTTTTAATTTTTGTTGACACCTTTTGTATTATTGGCAGTTAGAATATCTAAATTATTATTGTACTCACAGGCTTGGAGGCATTTTAGATTAGGAGTAAAAATGTCCAAATATAAATAAATCCCAACCTGTTTCCAGACACACTGCATAGAAAACAATTTAATCACCAAGAAGGGTTGAGAATAACTGAATCTTCATCATGGTAAACTGCATGTAAATCTGTTTCCAGAACAAATAGTTCACAGAAAACTGATACTAACCCTTACAGGGCAAAGCGTCCTCTAACCTGCTTTTCTTTTAATTATCAGACATACATTTGTTGAAAAACAAAGATATTTTAAGATCCCCGGTGATGCTTGGGACCATTAGGCTATGTTAATTCAAATATATTATAATATAAGCCTGTTTTTCTTATTTTGGGGATAAAAAACCTGAATAACTCCTCAAATAATTTTTCAATACAACATGGCATAGGATAAGAAATGGTCTGAATAAGCTTTGTGCAAAATGCTTATGAGAACACAGCTCCCAACAGCGTTGACAGTGTTTACAGGAGTGACAGTGCTGACAGAAACCCACTAAAAGGATTTCTTTGATGCTGTGAGCAGCTGAAGCCAACAGCAGGATGACAAATGAAAGTAGTTAGAACATGCAATTAGTTTCTTCAGTATCTAATTGATGTCAGTTTTAGCAATATTCTCCAACACTTTTAAAAAGTGTTTAACATCTTTTGACAATCAGTAATCATATCCTGATATATAATTCCTCGTTCGCTACACTGTTTGTATTATCAAGATGCTTTATGACAGAGATAGAGGTGAAGATTGGATTGCTTTAAGTGGTTTTAATCACCTTTTTTTCTAAGTTTGACATTCAGAGGCAAACAAGACTAAACAAGTAAACTGAATGTTTAAAAAGAGGCATGGAACACAAAATAAAGAGAAACTTTCATGCAGTTAAAAAAAAACTGAGAACATTTTAAGACTTGCTTTTCTCACATAAACATACTTTAAAAGCAGTTTGAAACACTCAACAGGAAAACACACTGAACTGTATAGAAGAGTGGCACAGAGGGTAACAGGGAAAAGAACAAATTGCACAAATTAAATTTCTTTAAAACCAAAACCCCTGACATAAAAAATACTACAAAACGCTTTCTTTTTTTGAGGGTCAACATCTGAGCCTGTTAAACAACAACATCATCCTATTAGTCTTTTTAATTGTTATGATGATTTTTCATCATAACAATTAAACACCAGTCACAGCCCAGTCCAATCAGAAACCAGGTGAAGGTGCATCTAATTATCAGGCAGCCGTTCGATGATGGCGACCAAGATCAGCAAGCCAATTTCTGGATGTTACTGATCAGTCTCCTGCTGTATTCTCTGTGGTCGACAGGAAGCACCTCCATCACGGTGACTTTCACCCGACTCTCATCCTGAGGACAAAAGAAAAGGCTCAGATTAAGACTGAACTAATGCACAGAGAGGCATCAATCAACAATGATGGCTCTATGAATCAAACAATTAAAAACAAATCTTTGTAACATTTTTATTAAAATCAATTTATCAATATAGTACAAATACACAATATTTTCGAAGGAAAGTTGGCAGGATAAAAGTAACCCTGGACACAATCTGAAGTTGGCAGACTATAACTACTGTTGCTTAGTGATCAGACATGAACAGTTTTAACATATTAAATTAAACGGGTTTGAGTGAAAACTCAATGATAAAAATGTTTTATTTTATAAGAGTAAAAAAATTCTCCAGCTAATCACAACACACATCAGAGACATCCAGCTGGACAGATTTAGCATTCAGTCGTATTTCAGTGCTCTTTGCAAACACACAGATCTGCATGACTAATAGGTATGTTTCATGTTAGCTTTATTTGCATTTCTTGGTTCCTTTTTTAGGTCTGAAACATGTTATAGAAACCATAGAAATTCCCAATAAATATGCAAAGACAGGACCACCTGTTCATCAAAGCCATTACTTTGGCAAATAAAACATACAAGTAATTAAATGAGAACAACTAGCTGATACGACTAACATCCCTCCATAAGAAGCATGCTAAAAAAAAATCTGACAGGACACCAGGTTTGGCAAAAAATTAAAATTTATATCACAGCTAATAACAACAAAACAAACAAAAACATCAAAAAGTGTCTACAGGTAGTGATTCATGTCTGACCTGACGTAAATCATTTACCAAAGTCTGTTAGAAAGTGATCAACTGCCCTTTGTTAAACGCAACAAGTTAAATGCCCCATCAACCACAGCTCCTTCTAAAATAAAAGTCACATAGAATATTTCTAAAACAAACAAAAAAGTGAGAAAAAAAAAAGTCACCAAACGTATCTAAACCTAATGCAGAGAGTATAATTTCTACAATGGTTTTAAAAAAAAACTTTTTGTTTTTAATTCTACAGAATTAAATTATCCTTTATTAATAACTGGTACAAGTTGTTACCCGGGTGAACTGCAGGTTTTTCCTTTTACTCCAGCTACACCTCTCACTTAGCTGCCTTATCTAACACCAGTTTGTTGTGGGGAAGCATGCTTAAAACCCAAGGCTGTGTCAAGTGGGAGGGAATCTTTGTTAAGCTTCTCACAGCGTCAACAGGTAAAATACCTTAGCAGATATAGAGATCCTCCATAGGCAGACATAGAGATCCTCCATAGGCAGACATAGATCTCCTACATTGGCAGACATAGATATCCTACATAGGCTTAACAAAACATAGAGTAACATAAACAGTTCTCTTTTTAAAACCAAGACAAAGGAACTTGGAGAAGGAGAAACATTTTTAAATAAATATAAAATCCAGGTATATGCAGTAATGTCGCAATGATCAGTTTGTACATATAAAATGGAATAGAGACCTTTGATTATTTCTCTGCTGAAATAAAACACAGATAATTTGAAAGTGACCTGACTTCAGTCTAAGGTGGCATTTAACTTGTGAACTGTGAACACCTCGAAGATGACTACAATTTGTTGGGGGAATAGAGCGTAAAAGGTGACATTTTCCATCTCTTAAAGGAAGAAAAATTTAGGATGTCCACAGGGGGAAAAAAGAAATGTTCCGATTTGACTTTTTTCAAACATTTTCAAGATAAAAGGTACAGACAGTGTATGCTGAGATGAGTAGAAAGTGCAGTAAAAAGACTAGCCTGCCATTTATCCTCTGGAGGTTTTTCTAAAGCCCACAATCAGAGATTGTATCTCATGTTTTCTCCTTGTTTTTCCCTCAGCAAAGGCAGCTGAATTACACTTTCTAATTAAAAGGCTTTCCTGTGAAGACATGACAAAACTAACTAGTCTTATTATAGTCACTATAACAGGGATTAAAAATAAAGCAATTCAAAACCTCATGAAAACAAATTCATTAGCAGTTAAGCAAGGATACTGTGTATGAATGATGTGTTTAATATCTATCAGACTTCTGCTGGAATTTTCAATTATATCAAGTTACAAAATAGATAAACATAAGATTTCCTCGTGATAAGACTAAATTTTATCAAAGAAGATTATTATTATTTTTTTAAAAAGGGGTTATGTGATGGGTATGATGTTGTGTGACTAATATTTTACTGACCTAGATAGATGTTTTTGCCTTTGCCGCAAAACGTTTTTTTAACTGTATTCAGACAACAAAAACACAATATTGAGACGCAGCCAATCTAATCAGACAAATCCTACAATCTTATGGAGCAATATCAAGCTTAGTACTGTGCTAAATGGTGTAATTACACAGCCGAAAATTCAGAAAAACTGGCTTAAAAAAGCAGAGATAACTCACTGGAAAGAATACATCACTAAAATATGGAATGAATAGCTGCAATGAATAGGTCCCATTGACCATACTGGAGTTTATACAGTTTCACTAAAATTGTTGAAAAGCAGCTACCTTAGGATATAGGGAAAATGGTATGAACCTGAACCTACCTGACCTACAAACTGTCCTCAAATTAACCCTAAATTTGTTGTTCTAAGCAAAATATCTCTCATTTCTCTTTAGGAAATGCCAAAACTCTTGTGTCAATCCAAATTAAGAAATATGTCAATAAAACACAGCCTACTGTCTCATTGTTGATTTGTTTGTCCAGCCTGTCATAAGTGCTCAATGTCAGCCACATGTAAAAGAATGAAGTATTTGAGATGCATGGTAATATTTTCTTTGGTTATTTCACATTGATTATGTAAATTACATTAAATTTCCCAAACAATCTTTACTACACTGTGAACCAGCAGAAATGGCTAAATTTGATGTTGACAAGCTGAACTAAGAGTCTGGTTTTGCTGATGATGCGAGGCGACAACATTAAGTCTGTGCTTGGCTGTTATAAGACAGGAAGAAAAATCTGTCCCTTCTGACAATTATGGATTTAGACACAGTCTTGAGTGCAGAAATATGGCTCACATATTGGGACTATGCAACCAACAACAAACTTTTATAAACAATTACAAATAAATGACTTGAAACTAAAATGACCATCCTATTATGAAAAGCATTTTCACGCCAAAATTAATGTATAAAGTAGGAAAATATACCAGGCAGACGATTTTTTGATGCCCCAATTAAGGTATCCCAAACAAGTCATATAGAATAAAAGCATCTAACATGTTTTAGTGCATTGTATTTCTTGCCATGACAGATTGTAGAAACTTAAAACCGTTTTCTCTACGGTAAGAGTATAACATAGCAGACAACTTATCCTTAATGATGCTTCATGAGAAAGGGAGAACATTCCATTCTATACCAGAAATGTTGTATGTTGTCTTTTTTTTTCTTTTACAGTTTATTTAAAATCAATGCAATTAAAGAAAGTTCTAAAGTAAAGAAATGTTAAAGATGGCTGAACATCAGATGAGCGATGGTAACTGACTTTAGGAGGAGAAAGTCATTACCTGTTGGTCTCAGGTTGAAGACAGAGGTGAGTGGGACGTTACTAAAGAAACCGTCATCCATCATGGTCAATCAGAACCATCACCTTCAAAGCCCAATGGATAGCCAGCAGCGCACCTTTTCAAATAGGCTATATGTGGCAGGAAATCCTTTCTGTCATTTACCATCACCTTCACATTAACTCTCAGATTTAGACTCATTTAACATTTATCCCTTCGGATTAGTCCTTCAGGGAAATTCTGGTTCCAGTAGCTTATATAGAGTACAAAGAGTTAAAGCAAGATGCCATTAAAGATAAAAATAAAACAGATAATATAAAAAAAGTGTATATACTACAAAAGAAAAGTATAAAAAAGTTGTAAAGTCCTGGAATATGTTTCCTATAGATATAAAATATGTGCACAGTAGAGAGCTAAGGAAAGACTACCCAGTAGCTGACTTGGATAATTCCTCTTGTACTGCAGAGATGTACTGACCTTATTAATATGTAAAACATTGCACAGACTACACAGTAGTTGGCATGTGTTATTGCACAGGGAGAGAGAATATTTTTTCAAATGAGTGGCAATAGGTAATGTTTTGCACAAGAGGTAGTCTCCAGCCCTTGCTGGTTGCAGTTCATTGTCATTACCTTATTTAGCAAAATTCGATTTCTGTTTTCTATTGTTTTATATGTTTTCATTGTTATGCTGCGGATGCACAATAATTTCCCATTCTTGGAATCAAAGTATACCTTATCTTATCTTGTAATAAAATAACTGGTTTCTGATGAGAAAAATGATGATGTCATTGAGCCATTTCAATCAATCCCAAACTAAGAATCAATCAATCTGAAACTGAGATTGTAGATCTCTTTCAACTCTCCACAATAATCACTGGTCTTTGGACTCTAGATGGATTATCTCTCGTTTTCTGCTTCTTATAAACCTATCTGTTAACAGATTCATCAGCTAAAAGATGAAAGAAAGCTTTTAATAGCAGCTTAAAAAGAAAAATGAGAAAATCTGTGTGCTACTGCAATGAATTAATTTTTAACAAGACTGTGACACAAAGCTGTGCTTTTTAGGAATATTTTCCATCAGAACTTTCAGCAACATATGTGCCCCCACTTCAGTTTCAGCTCCTCATACATAGTTTACTGTTATGTTCAAGGTGAAACTAGGTACACCATTTCATACACAAAATCATATTTTTCCTCAGACTCTTGGAAGCCACCTTTCTATTTGAAAAAAACTAAACAAAAAAAACTGTAATATGGAGCGCAACTGCATCTGTTAAGAAGAGCT